TTTTAACGTGACCTTCGCCTACATTCACTATTGCTTCTAACACGTCGCTTTCTTCTTCTCACCTTTTCCGAATGCTCCTTCTTTTACCCCTATCTCCTCCACGCAAGAAGAAATTAACGATCTCAAAATAGTAGAGTCGTTATTGAAAGTAAATTGGACCAACTCACTGGTCATATCAAACAATTCATTAGTTCCATTGGTGGTGCTCCCCTGGAACAAGCTGATTCAGCTTCTTCTAATTAACTTTCTTCTTCAACTTTCAACTCCCCGACTGTTCTTATCATTGTGTTTTAATGTCAGACAATAATTTTAATTATGATACCTTTGTACGAAATCCTCCCAACCCCGATAATGTTACAAAAATTTTTTCACATGAATCGTTATTCTCTTCCTCTAGTAACACCTCTCTTATCCCCAATTCATTTAATATTTCCTCCTTTAATGTTAATGGCCTCAAAATGTATGGTCAAACTAAACTAGAAGAAATTTCAACTTTTTTTTCCTTAAAACATATTTCTTTTGGTGGTATCGTTGATACTCATCTTCATCCTAAACAAATGAAGTTTTTATCCAAGCGCATTCTAATTATACTGTATTCTATTCTGATTTGGATACTTCTAAACAAATTCTTTCTTCTGGTGGTGTTTCTCTTTTTATTGAAAACTCCCATGCTTCACATATACAAGATTTTAAATCTCATTCTTCACGTTTACTTTCCGTTAATTTATATTTCAAAGGTAATGTTAAATTGCGCATATTTGTTATTTATATTCCTCCTCCTGCTGAAAGTGTTTTGCGCTCTGACACTATTGAATTGCTTATTCAGCAACTTTCCTCTACTAAACAAGCTGGTTTTTACCATGCTGTTTGTAGCGATTTTAATATACATTTAGATAAATATTATTCTATTTATTTTAATCAACCTCAAATTGCTTCAAAACATATCCACCGCCTTTTTTTTCATCTCCTCTCTCATGGATATGAAGACTGTACTCCTGTTAATCTTTCTGATTCCTTAGGTACCTTTCATCGCAATGACCGTATTACTCGTGTTGATTATGTATGGTCCTGCCCTCTTCTCAAAGGATTTGCTCTTACTACTTGCATCTTTGATGCTCAAGACATTTGCACATCTGATCATAACCCTGTTATCACATACTATGATATGTCTTTACTTTTTGCCTCTATTAAATTGGCTCGCGCTCGACAACTTAAGCGCCAAACCTGTCGCATCTTCAAATTTGATTCTGTAACTGATATTCAATGGACGGAATTCACTGACAAAGCTGATGCTTTATGTGACGTTTCACCTTTAATCTTTTCCTCCTGGCATATCAATCAAATGTGCGAATATCTTCAATCACGAATCCTCAAAGCTGCCAATGCTACTTTACCTTCTTCTATTGTTGGCAACAATTATACTCTTAAGGTCCCTAAAGATCTGGAAATTTTAACTCAACATTATTGTTTTTTAAATTGCCTGCTGCATTCGATACGTATATTGCGCAAACATCCTTCAACTTATTCTGCTGCTCATGAACATAAGTGGTCTACTCATTTAATTAGACTTCAAAACATTTTACAATTGTATAAGAAAGTATTTACTTTCACTCCTATTTTGCCCTCCTCCCTTTTATCATGTCGACAAGATAATTTCAAATTACTCCTTGATGATTTATCTACTATTTCAAAATCCTTACGAGGATTTCAGTTGCTTCAAGAAAAAGAATTTCAAGATTCCTCCATTCGTGCTCNTAAGGTCCCTAAAGATCTGGAAATTTTAACTCAACATTATTGTTTTTTAAATTGCCTGCTGCATTCGATACGTATATTGCGCAAACATCCTTCAACTTATTCTGCTGCTCATGAACATAAGTGGTCTACTCATTTAATTAGACTTCAAAACATTTTACAATTGTATAAGAAAGTATTTACTTTCACTCCTATTTTGCCCTCCTCCCTTTTATCATGTCGACAAGATAATTTCAAATTACTCCTTGATGATTTATCTACTATTTCAAAATCCTTACGAGGATTTCAGTTGCTTCAAGAAAAAGAATTTCAAGATTCCTCCATTCGTGCTTATTTGAATGATAGAAATAATAATTTTGAAACTGACCTTTCCTCCTTTATTGATTCAGCGCTTTCTCGCACCCGTCGCTGTATCACTCTGAATCGTATTTTTATCGACCATCCCATTCACCCTCAGTTGTTAACTGATCCTAAGGAAATAGATGATGCAGTTATTAAACATTTCCAAAACTTTGTACCTATCAAGTCCACACCACCGGTGTCTATTGATACATTACCTGATAGATGGTCTGCTGCCTACCAACCTATAGATGATGTGTCTTCCTCCATCTATGATTCTTTAATGAATCCCCCTACCCTTGACGAATGGTTATCCACCGTTTCTTCCACTTCTAACGGTAAAGCCTCTGGTCCTTCTATGATTACTTATGAAATGCTCAAACATCTTGGAACTCGCACCTCAGCTCTGCTACTTATTTTAATTCAAACATGCCTCTCCAAAGCTGATATTTTTGATTTATAGTGACAAGCAATGGTTTTTCCCATCCCAAAGCCTCACGAATGGAAAAGTCAACTAAAAAACAATCACCCTATTACTCTACTTGAAGTGATCAGAAAATCTCTTGTCAAACTTTTTTATAATCGCCTTTCTACTATTATGGCTTCACATGATGTCCTTAAAGGTGGTAACTTCGCTGGTCTTCCTGGTGGTTCTTGTCGTGACCCTATTATTACTCTAGAATCTATTATCCATGATGCTGATATCAATAAAAACCCACTCTGGATTCTCTCAGGACCCCGAATAATACTAATATAACTCACAAATGATCGTAAAAGGATAAAACGGAACTCTCTCCCGTTCTGCTCACTTGACAATATTTACGGAAAAAATAAAAAATTTTTTCGAAGTTTTTTATTACTTTTTCTTTATATTTTCTTTATTTTAGATAACTACGACACTCTACGACATGGCTAAAGATAACAAGAAACAAAATAACAAGTCTAACAAAGATACTACTTCTAAACGTCCTGCCTCTAGCTCTCCAGCCGGCAACGTTTCTGGTCAAGGTTCCGCTTTACCTGACACTTTGAACACTCCACTTTCGACCACCTCTACTAATAAACGTACCAGAGTCAGTGCTGACGACTCTGTCATGAATGTTGATAAACCTCTCACGCCTCCTGGCCCTGTTGAGACAACTTCCGCTGAGATACCTTCTCAACCTGATACCTCTTCTCTTGACGCTTCTCAACACGCCCCTGCTAATAATAATGATAAAGGCAAAAGCCCAGAAATTACTCCTGTAGTCTCCTTCCCAGAACGTGCTGCCTTCCTGGACGCGTCCCAAGCTGCAGTACAATCTCAACCTACACTCTATTACGCCTCGGCCGCTCCTAATGACGTCGAAGGCTTTTGGACTCACTTCGCTTCGAACCGTGACGCGTGCAACGCGGTTGATTGATAACTTTCCTTGTTCTCCTCTTATGGTAGTCGTGCCACATGTAGTGGATCCAACGATTTGAAGAGGATCATCGTACACTTCCGGAAAAAGGAAGATCTTGACAAAGCCACAGCTTCCCCTATGGATTCTTTGTTCGGCTTACATTTCCATGCATATGACCCCAAGGCTATTAAGGCAGACGAACACGCACGTACCCTGGTGGTTACTGATATTCCCCTTTTCATTACTGACGCGCTTTTGCGTGGTACCTTCTCTCGTTATGGCAATATTACTCGCTGCCACACCCGTTTATCTAAACTTTATCGTACTGCATACATTACCTTTGAATCTACTGGTGCATTACAGAATCTCGGCTCTACTTGGGGCGTTCTTTGTGGAGGACATTGCTTACGCGTCTGCTCCGCTACTTTCTCACCTGACCAACGCGCTGAAAGACGCGCTTATGTTGCTTTACTTGCCGGTCTTCCGCGTGGTACTATTGCGGTCGATCTTGCCAAAATTGCCGATGAAATTTCCGCTAAATCTATTAATGTTCCCTTCTCTATGAATTCTTATAATCCCAAGCCTTATGCCTATTGCCATTTTGCCTCTGAAACGGCTATGGAAAATGCAAAGTCTATCTCCTGTCTCTTATACACATCTAGATGTGTATAAGAGACAGGTATTGTTAGTATTACGACATAAAGTAACAAAGAGGTAAAAAAAAAACGCGTTAATATTAAAATAATTAGTATTAATAAATAAATATTTCTATACCTGCAAAGTAATTGAACAAAAGAATAAAGAAATAAAGAGAAAGGAAAAAATAAACATGTTGTTAGTATTGTTAGTATCGTTAGTATTAAAGTACAAGTAAAAAGGAATAAAGGAAACATGGATATTATTGTTAGTATTACGATACAAAATAACAAAGAGGTAAAAAAAAATGAAAATAATTAGTATTAATAAACAAATATTTCTATACCTGCAAAGCAATAAATTATGAAATATATGTAAATATATTGTATATAATTAAAGAAATAATAGAAAGAAGAGACAAAAAAATTAAAAATATTGAACAAAAGAATAAAGAAATAAGAAACAAAAATAAATAAGACAAAAACGCGTGCATGATTAAATGATTAAATGATTAAATCACATGCAAGGATCAGCCTAATTTGATTGGCCAGAAAATACGATATCGTAAAATTACGGAAATCCGCATTTTAAAAAATCACAGAAATTGTATATGCACAATTACTAAATATTATCCCCTCGTGATAAATTAAAAATTATCAACACAAATTCAACACAAATTTAACAAATTTAACGAAATTTGGCCAAAATTAACAAATTTTTACCAGAATTATCAACACAAATTGAACACAAATTGAACACAAATTTCAGCCACGATTTATTTATGTCACACCCGTGTTGTTAAGAATTAATAACCATTTTATTTATTAAAACTATATTAATTATGGTAAAAAAAATGCTATTACGTGTGATATATATAAAAAATAATATTTATTTCTTATGCAACCCATAATTCTCTAATAAACTATTTACATACCGACCTTCCTCCTCCGTGTTATAAGAGTCAATAGAAAGTATATCATCGTCAGCTATGCCATCATTGGCCGCACCATCGTTGGCCGCACCATCGTTGGCCGCATCATCGTTAGCCGCACCATCGTTAGGCCTACCATCGTTAGTCACACCATCATCAGCCGCACCTGCTCTATCGTCAGCTGCTCTATCACCACCATCGTCTACATCATTACCATCATGAGAATCATCGTCCGAATGTGTAAATTTATCCCTATTTTCCAACTTTTGCTAAAAATCAATAAATAAATAAATAAACTGTAATTCAAATAATTCACATTTTGCAAATTGTAAATTAAAAACTTACTAAGTTGTTGATTATCTTCGACTTCATTATACTTTCACTCATTTGAATGTTTTGATTATTAGGATTTAAGTACGTTTCACATATGCTAATCGCATACGCTATTTGTGTTTTTGAGGGATTTTTATTATCTTTTCGCAACTTATCAATTATCAGCGACATATATGTCGTAGGTTGTCCATCTTTAACCTTTTTAAATAGGATGTTGTAACATCTTTTCACCTCCGGCTTACTCTTCCATTCCTGAATCTTTGACGGACTAGCCTGAGTGTTAATGGACGGTAATTTATGCCCAGTTACTTCATAAACAGAATACATTACATCTTTTACTCTGGACGTGAACGTCCCTCTTATACTCCTATGTTGTTGTACTAACTATTAAAAAAAATATTAGTATGAAATTTAATAAAATTCATAATTGCTTTAACTTACAGTTGGGGCAATTTTTTTTTCGAAAAAAAGAATCCATTGATTTTTTTTGAACTGGCGTATAAATTCTGGATTTTCGTCTTTTAAATATTTTTCGGTAGCAAGTCTGTACTCTTCTTGCGAAGGATAAACAAAATTTTCAAATAAAATTTTTGACACCTTCTTAACGAGCTCCTAATCAAATGAAATTAGCATTTCAGGTTTACATTAAATAATATTCATCTTTATTACCTTTATATACTCCGTATCTATTGTATTATTATTTTTGTTATCATCGTTGAGCTTTTTTTCTATACCCGAGAGACGGGTTTCAAGATTTTTTTGTCAGGTAATAAGAACTTCAAGCTTAGAAATTATCTGCGAATTGGTTCTTAATAGTTTTTCTATTGTTTTTTTATTAACTTTAACAATAAAATATAATTACTATATATTATATAATTTCTTATAAAAAATATGATATATATCATGTCATATATACCTTCAACATTATCGTCTGATAATCTTATTCGTTTCTCGGCTTCACTACTCTTCTCAGTATTACGTCTTGAGATTCTTTCATTATCATCAATATTTCATTTTTCACCACGTTTTGTAGCCATCGGGATAATATGTGAGGGAGGAGATATGAACTAAACTCGAAAGGGAGAAAAAGATATTACTAGAAATTTGAAGAGGAACTAGAAATACGAAAGGAGAAAAATATGAGAAAAAGGGAAAGACATGAATCAGAAATTTGAAAATGAGGAACTAAAAATACGAAAAAGGGGGAATACATGAACCAGAGGTTCAGAAAAAGGAGGCAAGTTGTCATAACGTCATTTCCGCCATTCTATACTAAAAAAGAAAAAAAACTTGCGAAATATTGCGAAAAATGGATGAACTAATGCGAAATATTACGAAAAATGAATGAACTAATGCAAAAATTTTGCATTGTGATATTACGAAAAAAAAATTGTAACACTTTCATGAGAGAATTTTTAAAAAAACTCTCGTAAAAGCATATAGTACAATTGAAGTATTAATCAACATCCATTTATAAAAAAATAACATGTTACACATGTTGGGGCTTGTATGCATGGCAAAAAAAAGTTGCAGCGAGTGAATTCATTTGGCTGATTAGATTGATAGTGATCTTGAACGCTTATAACTGATTATCGCATAAATTTGT